AAGGGAAGGTGGACAGAAGAATGGTCCGGTGGAACAAGGCAAGCAGGTGGGGGTTCGGTGGAGTTTGCTCGATAGGAGGAGAAGAGAAGTACGAGAGATGAGGTTGTTGTCTTGGTGGCTCACCGACGCACCACCACAGCCCATGGTTCATGGCAGATAAAGATTTAGAGAGAGAGAGAAGTGAGTTTATTTTGCTTTTGTTTTTTTATTTTATTATAAGAATAAGAAAATAAGTAAAAGAAAATAAAATATAGTTATTTAAGGGGCATATTAGTCATTTTAGGTGGGATGTGGACCAAAAACACAAGAAAATACATCCATAGGGACCAAAACCACACAAGGTATCCAAAATTGGACCAGTGGTGCACAAACATTTCATTTTGGACCAAAACTACATAATTTTGACAACCACAGGGACCATTTTTGCAATTTTGTCTATCCATTTATATCAATTGTATCTTTTTTTCTTTTTTTTTTCTTTTTTTTTCTTTTTTTTTTAATTTATGTAAACCAACTAAATATTATAAGAAATGTGTATCTTTCTTTGTTTTATCTAGATTTATTTTTATTTTTATTTTTATTTTTAACATCGAACGTCATTTTGTTTTTAACCATAATGGCAACATACTTTCACTTTTAACCCATCATATCATCGTATTTTCATTTTAACCCACAATACCAATCTACTTTCATTTTTAACCCATCATAGCATCTCACTTTCAATTTAAAGTTTCTAGGTTATTTTTACTTTGTCAACCGTACAATAAACCAAGCTAATAACTTATGTTGGTGGTGTTTTCATTTAGCTTGATCTTGAGAACAACTTAATTCTTTCACTTTATCCTAATTAATTTCAATTCGCAAATATTAAAGTACTTACTTATTTATGATTTCGATCGTATTTATTTCAAAATTTTAAAAATGCTTAATGGTTTAATCAACCCGTATAGTATACGGGTCTCACACCTAGTTGATATAATAATGTTTTGAATTAAGAATTTAGGTTTTCTTTAACGACAAGCTATCCAATATTGTATATAATAAAAACACATGTTAATCGATTTTCCATATATTGAATAATTTGATAATTAGGCTTTGGCCCGTTTCTTTATTTGGTTGATTAATTTGTATTTACCACAAAATGAGCTAACTTTTTGGATGCAATTGCAATTGCAATTGCGATGATGCAATGATACAAATATGCAATGCAAGCGAATTTAACAAAAGGCCCGAATATTTTTTAAGCCCAAGCTTTTTCCTTTTGAGAGGTTTATCATTAGTCATAGCTTAATGATTAGGCTAAAACAAATTTTGGACTATTTTGAAAAAATCGGGCTATTAAATTTTAACTTTAAATATTTGGATTTTTAATATCAGGTATCCTATTTTTTACCGGATAGCACCGCAATATAAAAAAATTTTACGAAAAAATATACTTCTAACTGAAATTTGAAGGGTCACATGGGCTATTCGAATAAAACATAATCAATACATTTGATTAAAATCATAATCAATTATATCCATTAGGGGTGAGCAAAAATCGCACCGCAACTAAAATTAAGAGCAAAAACCGCATAAACCGCAACCGATAAACCGCAACCGCAATAAAAACCGATGGTGAGGTTTTCTGTTTTTCAAAAACCGCAAATTTGCGGTGCAGTGCGGTTATTAGTTTTCAAAAACCGCACCGCACCGCATACAATTTTTTTATTAATTATTAATATATTAAATGTATAAAATAAGACAACTTTTATGGATGAAAGATGGATAAAATACTAGAAGACAAAAGTGTTGGTTTTTTGTTATGTTTAACTTTGAAACATGGTGAAATTAGACAATTTTAAGATATTTATTGTTAATTACTATTGATTTGACGTTTTTAAGATATTAGTTGTTTGTGATTTAAGTTAATTGTCTTATACCTTATAATTTTTTTATTATTACAAGTAATATATTTGAACTCTTAAAACCGTTGGAGCTCTAAACTGTGCTTAACAACCACGCAAAATAATTGCACCAAATCCATGCGGTTAATAACCGCAACACAAAAAAAAAACAAAACTGCAGCGCAAAAATAACCGCACCAAGCGGTTTTGAAAATGGATTAACCGCATTTGCGGTTAGTGGTGATGTTTTGGCTAATAACCGCACCGAACCACACCGCGCTCACCCCTAAATTATCCATAATTAAATCCGTTTAGTTAAAGAAATTTAAATATAATCAAGTATCATTGAGAAACGTTAATTTCTGATCCGTCATTTTAAAATTGTTTTTATATTTACACAATAATTATCATTATTACATGAGTTGAAACTTACATTTCTTTTTAAAAAGTTAGCTCAAATAACATGATTATTTGAAAAAACGTCGTAGCTTAATGGTTGAAACTTGAAACGTTTGCCAGCAAACCATTAAATGTAGTTTTAAAACTTATTAATGAGAATATATATTTTTTTTAATTTTTTTAAAACTGAAAGATGATACATCAGCGATCATTTGGTCTAGATATTTCAAAATGAAGTTAACCAAATTTAAATCCATAGACTTCAGTATTGTGGTGGGACTGCGGTTATTTTTTTTATTTTTTTTTATTTATTATTTTTTTTTAATAAATGAAAGGGTTAAACTAAACTATAAACCATAAAAATAAAAAAGTTTGTGACATTTTACTAATAACTTGATCTTAACTTTTGTTAAATTAAATTAAGGGACCTATTCTTCCTCCATTTTTCTATCTGGATCTAAAGCATAGAAATTTTATTGTTTTTTGGAATGGCAAAATATTTTATAAATAAAAAATAAGACAAATTGCAAGAAAGTTACGATATTACTATAAAATTTCAATTTTGATTACAATTTTGTTGCAATATCAACCAAATGACCGGTTCACACAAACCCTATATTTGAAACTCAATCCTGACACATAAGATCCGACGTGACTTCTACATCATAATATTACAATGTTATTTATTTGGTAACTTGCTAGATTGATGGTAATCGATCACTTCGAGCAACATTAATAATCTTTGAAAATAGTAGAGGAATAACAAGTTCAACATCGTTGATGTTGGTATACCCTAACCTGGCAAACATAATTTGAAAGATGAGGTATGTGATTACTTTCTGCTTCTCCGTATAAAAAGATCATACCCTTACCTGGCAAGCATAATTTGGAAGATGAGGTATGTGACTACTTTTCGCTTCTACATCTGAAAAGAAGTGCAAGTCTGTGTGTGCCAGGTTAGGGTATGATCTTTCCCTTTAAGAAACTCGAGATGGTTCTACTTTTGTGCTCGGACAATGTCTTCCCTTTGGATGGAAGTTTCTCATTGGTGTCATCGGTAAATGCCTAGGGTATAAATTTGGAAGTCTTGACCAGTTAAATTTGTTTGAACTTAGGATCTTGTACATTATGGTCAAGAATAAACATCTAGATTTCGCTCAACTCATGTTTGACCAGTTTGTGTCCCACATATATGGCAAGAAAAGACCTACTTATGTGACTCACCCAAGGATGACTAACATTCTTCTAGAGTTCATGTCATCGGGGTATACCAACATCAATGTTGTTGGATTTGCTGTCCCTCTACTATCTTCAAAGATTATTAATGTTGCTCCAAGTGACCGATTACCATAAATATAGCAAGTTACAAAATAAATGACATTGCAATAATATGACGTGGAAGCTACGTCAGATCTTATGTGGTAGGATGGAGTTTCAAATATAGTGTTTGCATCGAACTGATCATTTGGTTGATATTGCAATAAAATTATAAAGAACAAATTACACGAATGGTCCTTAAGGTTTTGTCTTTTTCCCTAAAGTAGTCCTTACGAAACTTTTTTTTCGCTCAGATGGTACCTACGGAGCAAACCTTGCACACAAAAGGCCCCTGTGACTAACTTTGCTAACAGATTCTGGTAAGTTTTATGAAATGGAAAAAATACCCTTTGTTTTATGCACATAAATGGTCCTCTCTCTCTGTCTCATATATGGGTCTTTTACATCTTCAACTTCATTCCTCTGTTGTTTCATTCCTTCACCATCGGCGACACCTAGGAACACCGGCAACCACAGCTCCGCCAGCACCCCCGTGCCCGCTGCTACTGTTCGCGATGCTATCAGCTGACGAGATGAGAAGCTCACCGGAGGAAGCAGCTACCACTCTCGTTCCCCTCTCATCTCCTTCTGGTTTTGCCGGAAAGCACTGATCTGATATATTACTTCTTCTTCTTGAACTTTTCTCTTCCATTGCACATGTGGGATTTCATATCCTCTACCAGTATCGGATGGTGGTAAACGATGGTCTGAGGATGACGAAGGCGGAACCGATCAAGATTCCGATTAGGGTGAAGAGGAGACGCTGTTCTTTGAGGATGTAATTGATGAATCTTGGGAGATATCGGTGAGGGATTTAGGTGAGCAAGGTGGGGTTTGACTAATCGACATTTCTTCATCTCTCCTTTGATTTGCATTTGATTATTTATGAAACTGCTTCATGTTGTTCATCGTGATTGGATCTTCCATTCAAAATTATGCTTTTTTTGGTATAGAGGTTAATGGGTTATGAGCAAGTGAAGAGCATGAGAATGGAAATGGGTGTAGAAACGATGTTTATGCTTTCAGGTGTTCTTTCAAGTTTGTAAAATGCTATAGGGAAACATGTTTGCTCTTATTGCCCACCAAGTGTTTGATCTTTTGTCTGAATGATCTTTCCATGGTGCAAAGTTCTTAGCTACGCCTAAAACACAGTTTGCCCACAAATTTCTAAATTTGGCTTTTAAATTTTTGAATCAATTGTGAAAACCCCTAAATCATAACCTGGTGGAGAGAGAGAGAGAGAGAGAGAGAGAGAGAGAGAGAGAGAGAGGATCGTCTATGTGCATAAAACAAATGGTATTTTTGTCATTTAACAAAAGTTAACAGAATTTGTTTGCAAAGTTAGTCACAAGGGCCTTTTGTGTGCAAGGTTTGTTCTGTAGGTACCATCTGAGGGAAAAAAGTTCTGTAGGGACTATTTTAGGAAAAAAACAAAACCTTAAGGACCATTCGTGTAATTTGTTCAATAATAAATATAGTGACATAACTGAAAGAAAAAACTTCATGTGAGAATTAAAAATTTGTGATAATATAATGACTTTATTACAATTCAAGAAAAATTGTTACCGGGAGAACCGATCATTTGATTGATATTGTAACAAAATTGTAAATATAATAACATAATTGAAAAAAAAAAATTAATGTCAAAATCAAAATTTTATGATAATATATTTACAACTTTCCCTAAAAATAATCAACCGGCTCAAATACAAATATAAAATTAATTCTAATCTATTTAGTAAAAGAAAAAAAAACATATAATATCAGCGACCGAAATTTCTTAAATGTCACAATCTTGTTCTCTCGTTAACATGTATTTTGGTAGAAAGTTTTTTTTTTCTTTTTTCCTTTTTATTGATACCTTTTCCTATAGTAATTAATATGCGTAGAAGATAAGCAATATATAAGATATAATTGTATTAATTATCTCATCTTATTTGGTACAAATGTAGACTATTCATGGAATCAATTCAACAAGTATTAACTAGAGTTCCGTAAGTTAATTCGTTATGCATCCATTGGATGGCGCCGTCTTTAAAACATGGGAAGTGTTTTTTCTTGTACATATATCATTTATGTTTTATAAAATTATATAATATAATACTACATCCATGTAATATATGGATTAACGATTATGATTTTTGATCTCGCTATATATATATATATATATATATATATATATATATATATATATATATATATATATATATACCAAATGAGAACAATTTCTTATTTTGAGAACATTTAAGAACAAATTTGGACCACATAAAAAAAGTGCGTCATTTGAGTTTTAGTGAACAGAAGGCTTATGTGTAATTTAAGCTAATGATTCTCGATGTTTTGCGCCTTCAAACACATGACCAGCACCACCCATTCTGATCCTGCCCTCTGCCGAACGCCGCCTCCTCCCGCTATGCCTCTCCACCAATGACCTCACCTTGTGCTTTTCTTTTTTCTACTCTATTTCACCTATTCTCGATACTCGTTCCAGAAATGCAATGCTTAAAGTCGGCAATCTGATCCTTTTGAAGGTACTATCACCGCTTCTCTCTCTCTCTCTCTCTCTCTCTCTCTCTCTCCCCCCCTCTCTCTCTCTCTCTCTCTCTCTCTCTCTCTCTCTCTCTTTCTTTCTCTCTCTCTCTCTCTATGTCTCTCTCTTTCTCTCTCTCTCTCTCATTAGATCAACCAAATGCTAATTGATCTTAATTATCAACTATTTAGCAAACTGTCGATAATCGATTTCAACATATTCCGATGCAATATATTGTTTACACGATTTAGCAAAATGTCGAAGACATGAAGTATATAAATAAGCAGAACTCTAATTATGCATAGATACTGTATGTACTTTTGTTAGAAATATTTATTTTTATCCATTTGAGACATTCAAGTTTGTGACAGCTTATAAATTTTTTTATGAACACCAACAGTTCGATGAAATATCTCAATGAAAAAACATCCACAAATAAATCAAGAACAAGATGGTTTATTTATTGTTGCAGTTTGTAGGTGCTTGTTAACTGTTTTTTTTTTTGCTGAAATAGTATCATTTTGATGTCTCTTTTTAATTTATCTCTGTTTCTTTTGACTGGACTTTATTTTCCCAAACATTCAACAACTTGAATGTTTGGTTGTTGAGATTATAAACTGGATTTTATAGTCTTGCATAATTTCCCCAAACATATTTTGATGTCCTTGTTTAATTTTCCTCTGTGTAGGACTCGTTTTTCCTTCCAAGAGGTGACTTAAAGAGCTTAATGAGTTAAGTTGGCAACTTCACCCTAATAAGTGTAAAAGTGGCAGTTTATGTGAAAATCCTTAACTTTGAACCCTCATTAAGCCAATCATTAAGACCCTTAGGTTAAATTGAATTTCACATCTCAATAGCCTAATAAGTAACCAACAATCATATAAAAAGTGATAAACTTAAGGCTTAACTATTAAGTCCTTAATAGAACACCAAAAGTGATTTAAAAGCTATTATGATCAATTTTCCCAAATCTGTCCTCCAAATTCTAAAATTCGTGCAAGTCAATAAGAACACCTAAAATCATGAGACTTAGTTTTCTTGAAATCTTAATGTGTCTAGTTTCTTCAAACTTTGAATCACATTTCAAAATTTCAACTCCTTGAGGGGTAAAATTGGCAATCTTCTTAGGCTGGTTCATGCTGTCACAGATTTCATGCATTGTCTTCAAGAAATCATAATAAATTCATTAGAACTCCAAATGTCAAAATTCCAAATCCTATAGTTATATATGAATGTATAGTTTCCCACATATAAATGGACTGATGTAATTCTTAGTAGATTGATACAGTTTATTCCAAGAGTGTTGAATGGTCCAGAAAGTGACAGCTTAAAGTTCCTAACTTGTAAATTTAATATAAAATCAACCAAAAATCATTAGAATGAGATCTTTATATTTCTGAAAAGATAAAAGGGGGAAATTTACCAATATTATTTTATCGAAATTTAAGAATGGGTTTAAAGGTAAGAAAATAGATCCCAAAAAGAGCACTACAATCAAAGAAAAAATAAGAAAATATATACATAAGTTTTATAAGAGTAATACAACAAAACACAAGCTAAATAATGTTATAATTGTTGTGTAGGTTCTCGGAAAGGAAATGATTCATCTTGCTCATGGTAGCTAATTTTCAAGTTCAAGGAGGTGAGTTACACTAACTCTCCTATTATGTAGGCATTACTTGTTTTATGTTATTGTTCACGGATACCCTAATTCGGTAGAGTGAAAAAGGAAAGGCAGAATGTAGTTTGTTTTCTAGTATGCGTTCTCGATTCGTTAATTGTTCTTGTGTATTAAATCACATGTTATTATATGATCTAATCACATATGACTTATACGCACAAGATTTATTTTTGTGTTTTCGATTCAATAATTGTTATTTGTCCATATTAATCGTATGTGATTAAATACATAAAATGACATATGATTAAATACATGATAACAACTATTGAACTGAGAACGTAAATTTAAATCTTATTCACATAAATCATATGTGATTAGATACGTATAATCACATGTGATTAAATGCATTGGAACAACTATTGAATCGAGAACACGAAATAAATATTGTCCACATAAATCATATGCGATTAGATACATATAAAAAACTTGTGGTTATGTGTATCTAATCACATATGATTTATGTGGCTAAGATTCATTTTCGCATTCTCGATTCAATAATTGTTTTTTTCCACTTTACTCATATGTGATTAAATACATTTAATCATATATGATTATATGTTCCTAATCACATATGATTTTATTTGGAAAAAATGAATATTGTCTATATAAATGATATGTTATTAGATAAATACAATCACATGTAATTATATACACAATAACAAATATTGAACCAAGAACACGAAAACAAATCTTTATCCAATTTAATTATATGTGATTAAATACATCTAATCACATGTGATTATATGAATCTAATCACATATGATTTATGTGGACACAATTCATTTTTGCTTTGTCGATTCAATAGTTGTTCTCATGTATTTTATCACATGTAATTATATGTATAATTGTATGTGATTAAGTACATGAGCACGAATATTGAATCGAGAAAACAAAAATGAATCTTGTCCACCTCAAATCATATGTGATTATATACATATAATCACATGTGATTAAATACACAAAAGTAATTATTCAATCGAAACCGCAAAAATAACTATTGTCTACATAAATCATATCTGATTAAATACATACACATGTGATTATATGTATCTACTCATATATGATTTATGTGGATAAGATTCATTGTCACATTCTCGATTCAGTAATTGTTCTTTGTCCACTGTAATCACATGTGATTAAATACATATAATCACATATGATTAAATACATATAATCACATGTGATTATATGTATCTAATCACATATGAGTTATATGGACAAAACATAATGATGTCTATATAAATCATATGTGATTAGATACATATAATCACATTTGATTATATACACGAGAACAACTATTGAATCGAGAACACAAAGATAAATATTGTCCATATATATCATATGTGATTAAATGCATATAATCACATGTGATTATATGTATCTAATCACATAGAATTTATGTGGAAAATATTCATTTTTACGTTCTCGAATCAATTGCTGTTCTTGTGTATTTAATTACATGAGATTATATGTATCTAATCAGATTTGATTTATATGGACAATATTCATTTTTGCATTCTCGTTCAATAGTTGTTCTTGTATATTTAGTCACATATGATTTCTGTACACAAGATTCATTTTCGCGTTTTTGATTCAATAGTTTTTCTTTTTCCACATTAATCATATGTGATTAAATACATACAATCACATATGATTAAATACAT